ACCGTACAAATCACACTATCCCACTATGAATACGACCCCAGAACCTGCTTTTCCAGGGGCTTTAAGCGAAAGGTTAAGCATGCTCAGAGATGCCAGGGTCAAAAGAGCCATTCTCCCCGGGTACTGAATGTAATTACTTGGCCAGATGGAGAATTTCCAGCAATAGGTTTTTCATTTCCGCATCGTGACTTTTATTCCCCGTGTACAGCTGGAACGCCGGGCGCTCAAAGAACGGCAGCACTTTGGATAGGGCCCGCAGCTCTATCAGGTAGAGAAAATACAGGTTCTTGAGTCTTCTGGGACCTTCCCCTCTGGTGATGACTTCATCAAATCTCTGCCGGAACTCTGTAACGTTGGGGCCCCATTTCTTCTCTGACCACGTATCTGAGAGAGGAAAAAAACCCAAAAACCCAACCAGTGGCATGAGGCGGATGGGCGTGGTTGTGGTTCACCTCCTCCCACCATCCCACTGAACGGGGACCCGTGACTCAAACCAGGGAGATCCGAGCTTTAGAATAGCCACAGCCCTTTCATGAACTGCAAATTGTTCAAAAGAATCGTGCTTTTAACCAAACTCAAAGGCCAACAAACACGGAACTCCTGCAGGGCTTTGTTGGCTGGTTGAAAACATAAGCCAGGCTTAGAAGCAAAAGCTAAAAACGGCGGCTGCCCATTTTAAACGGAGTTATATCAGTTGAAGAGTTTCTCATCAGGTGACCTGATGGTTTTTGAAACCTGTGGATGCTGGCGAGAGCTCAACATTCGCTACAAGTGACAAGGGCTGGGTGGCAGTTGCTGGTGGGCTCTGAAGGTCCCTTCGTTCCTCCATTCCTGCCCACAAAAGCCACCGACCTGCTGCAGAACTTGAAAACGGTCTCTGCTTTAGGCTGAGCCTCTGCAGGGGCAGACTGGGCAGGCCTCTGGATCAGGCTCCTTCCCAGCACAGCATGGGGGCCAGAGGTTGGAAGGCTCCCAGACCAACAGGGACATTGAGAGAATTCCTTCTGCTATGGAAATGCAGGAGAACAAAAGCAGCCAAGGATCGGAGGAGACCGGGCTCTGTTTTCCATTATGAAGCCCACAGGTTTCACAAAGAATATTTCTGTTTGCTCATCCTATTGTGTACTTAAGATTATATAAAGTATGTAGTGGAAGACATAATACAGTCATATCAAACTGCTGTATAAAAATGAAAAAATGGGAGAAATTTTCTCTTCCAAATCCTCAGAGGATAACCAGTCCCAACTCTAGAGCCCAGGCAGGCTCTCAACAAGGCGACCATGGGGCGTCTGCAGGTGGAAACCCCTGCGTGGGCCCAAGCTGAGCCAAGGGGTGTCTCCTCGGAGCAGAGATCACTTTCCATAGCCTCTCCCCAACAGAGGCGATCCCTTTCTACACCAGCCAGACAAATGACGTGTACTTGGCTGCCTGTAGCCAACCTTATTTTCCTAATCCTCTCTGCAGTCCCAGCTCACTTCTTGCCTTTGATGTTTCTCTTGTTATTGTATCTCCCAACTCTAACCAAGTCTAACTCACATCAAGGCGAGGCCTACGTGGGCCATAGAGACTTAACTATAATTACTTAGTTAAACCTAAATGACTTCTCCAAATTCCAACAGCTGTCTCTAAATCCACCCTTGATTTTTTGTAAGCTTTAGCAAAATAAAGGTCGTAGGCTTGGTCCACAAGTAACACTCTAAACTACCAAATTCTTCGAGAAGTCAGACAGAACCTGCACCCCACGCTGCAGGACGCAGCCTTTGGCCACACAAATCAAGTTTTCACACCCCCCCCTCGATTTTCAACCCCAGAGTTGAAATTTAGATTCCTCAGATAGCTATTGAAAGCACACAAAACAGAAATGGCAGGTGGAAATGGATTGAGGGTCTTGGGAAAGCCCAGCTGAGCATTTCATAGTCTAGAGGAGATGACTGCTAAACTGACCATCAGGAAGATGGGCTAGGAAGGGACAGCCTTGATATGCAGTCAGAAACCCACTCCAAAATAACCTTGGGGGAAAACCAGAAGAAATGTGCTGGAAGTCTTGGTACAGAGCACAGCACAGCCCTTTTCAGACCTGAAGGCCTGGGCTAACTGCCTTGTTAATTCTGTTACGCAGTCCCTGCTGAGGGAGGGAAGAGAGGAGCCCAGAAGTAGGCTGGAACAGGCTCCAGGTGACATTTAGCAGAGCCACAGAAGTGTCAGTTTAGGAGCGAGGCAGGAGAGCCAAGGCAGAAAGTAGCCTTTACCTTGTAAAAGGTACCTGGCACTCAAATGGATGTTGATGCTTGCATGGAGACCAGAAACAAGTCTGTAGAAAGCTCGCTTCTCTACACAGACACCTGAAAAGAGATGGTCACTTCATGAGCCTGAAAACATACGTTGAATTTTCCTCTCCTGGCTGTCAGACAGAAATCTAATCCCACCTGAGGGCAGCCAGTCACTCCCCACCCCTCCCTGGCCGTTTTTGCATTTATCTCAGTAAATTAATCAAGTTTAGAAAAAGGGATTACCTTGCAGCCACTTGTAAAACATATGCCCTGGAAAGAAAAGGAAAACAAGCACATTAGTTTGAGAGTACTAGTCAAGCCTGCTGCCCTGAATGCACCTCTGAGGCCAGTCCCCAGAGGATCTCTGCCAACTCTGGTTTGTAGAAGCAGGGAGAGGAGTGTTACAAGAGCGAGAAAACAGTTTTCCTCCCCACTCTTCTGACTGACGCTTCTTTCTGTAACACAGTGTGGCAGCAGCTAAACACAGCACGTGGCCTTTCCCAGTAAGGGCTGGCAGGGGCAGAAGTGCTGCAGAACAGCACAGCATAGGGGGAAACAAGGACCACAGGTCACTTATCTTCTGGTAGGATGGGGAGACAGGGATTTTTATTAAAAATAAAACACTGCAATCAAGTGTGTACAATTGCACAAGGCAGTGTTTCACACTGCCCCCTAATATATGCTTGAAAGTAATCTGGAGAACATAAAGATGGATTTGGAGATAATTTGGAGACAAAGATATGTCAGATACACAGGTCCAGTGCTTCAGAGGGCAAAGAGCTGCAGGGCACAGCTCTTCCCAAACGAGAGCCCCACAGGGCCTAAGGGAGTTGGGAACCCAGCTCCTACCAGCCATCATCCAGAGGCTGTTGGGACTACAAGTCTTTGCAAAGCTCCAGCCGGAGAGCTGCTTTCTCAGCAATAACAAGTGCTGAAAAAAACCAAAAAAACCCCAAAACACAACACCCCAACCAAAAGACACCCAAACCCACAACACAAGTCCTGTGAAGGCTTATGACACTTCACTGACTTGATTTTTCAAATGGGACTTGTACTCTTAAAAAAAAAAAAAAAATCTGTTGATGGTTTTAAAGGCCCCCACACAAGGCTGAGCTGGCCTCAGGGACGGAGAGCTCTGAGGGATCTCTCCACAGGATCCTGAACACAGCAGGATTTCAAGACAATTTCTGATTTTGCCTGAATAATGACTTTGCTAACCAGGTGCATTATCTAATGGTACAGCTCGTGACAACAGAAACAAATGGGGTGTCTTTATCATGCTATCAGTGAAAACAAACAGAGTGCCACTCACCTCCGTCATCTCCAGATGAAAAAAAAAAAGGCACAGGTGGTGGAGGGAGAGAAAAGAGGAGATAAAAATTACACATGACCAAAATTAAACTCCAAAGCACAAGCATTAAGACTGCTCCATTAATCTGCTCTGACAAGAAAAGGAGCCTCTCCGGGGAGGTTTAGAAATGTTCTGAACACAGAAAACATCATCTCAAACGGCAGCAGGGAATATATCAGATGAGCAATACTACTGAATAACCTGACCAATGCAGGAGGGATCAATATTTGCAAAGGAAGTAAAACCACCAGACAGCTGAAGCAGAAACCAGAAAACAAGGGATGCAAATGTCTCCCTCTGCCAGAGATCTCCTGTATGACCTCTGGCAGGATGCTCAAAGACCTCATCCCCACTTCTTGCAGTTTATTAGTCGCTTGCAACAACTCTGGCAGGTGTCAGATCCTCTATTTTCACGTCCTCCTGCTTCCTCATTTGCAAAGCAGCCGTCCTTCCCTCTCCCCTCAACATACCTGTATTATTTCATACTGATCTTGCCCTAAACAGAGCTGGTCAAAGGAAGGACTGATATTTTAAAGGACACTGTACATTTCCTTCACTAGGGCCGCTCCTGAAGCAGCTCTTTCTTTGCACAAGGGTCAAGGGAGGGGAAGAAGCATCTCCACAGCTTGGGGAAAAGCAAGAGATCACCCCAGAGGGTACTGCTGGAGGGATGTTCAGGTCAAACGAATGGGGAGTGGGGTCAATGATGTTCCAGATGTCTGGGCAGGATGGGGCATCAGGAGACATGGGGTCTCTTGACAGCCTTGGGCAAGAAGCTCAGCTTCCAAAACCCTTCCCCACTCTCATTTACACTGTCTAGCTTTAGCCTCCAGGGCAGAGTTTCTCTTACTGGATGGTTTCCATGGAGGATCCCAGTCAGGTTCTCATTTCAGACCATTACAGAGGGTTTGGCATTGCCACGCGCAGAAACCAGGGACCCGGGAAGAGCTCAGGGTTCAGTCCTGCCCCTAGTCTCTCCAAAACTCACATTCCTTCCAGGAGTGGAGGAGACTTCCTTTCTTTGTGATGGATGCTAGAGAGCCACACTTCCAGGTGCCCTTGTGTTACCCATAAAATTCTACACTTGATCAAGCACTACAACATATTTCACATTCAGTAGAAGCAGCTCAGAGAGCATTTAGTGTTCGTGGAGCTAAGATCAGTACACTACTAAACCACTTAGTGAGACAGATGACTCACCTCTACCAGATGCCAAAGGTCTTTTTACATTCTGAGGCCTAAGAAAAAAAAAAAAAATCATTAAGATAGGTAAATAAGTGACTGTCTCATTTCTGTGCAGAAACACAGCACAGCAGAAGTAGTTATTTCTCTGCACTCAGCCTAAGGAATTCTTAGATTTCCTTCTGTGCGTTAGCCACATTTTGCTCTACCCCTTTCCTGTCTGAGCAAAGCTTTCTCCCCCCCTCCCCTTTCTTTCTTTGTAAAGAACAGCTAGGAAAACCCAAGTGTCTACGGAGGTGCTAGTGGACATTATCCCACGGCCTGGGTGCAACACGGTATGTTACTACGAACAGGGAGGAAATCACTAGAGATCCCAGCAGGCAAGACCACCGTCCAGCACCCACCTGTACAATGTGTCAGCCCCAGAGGTGCCCACAGCAGAATTCAAACTGGGCAGAGACTGGGGAGAGTGCTCCCTGCAATGGCCAGGGAGGACTGGACTGGGTGCCCAGGAGTACATCGCATGAGGGACACGCCCCACCCTGCCAGGCTGCTGGTGCACCCTGTGTCAGGGCTCACACCAGAGCCCACACCAGGGCAAGCTGTGGTCTGAAAGACAGCCAAGGGGGGCTCGTGGGGCAGCTGCATAGCTCGTCCCCTCCTCTGACAGCCTGCACTGCACAGGCATCGCGACAAAAATAGGAGGATGGGGACAAATAGAGCAGCTAAAGCACCTGCAGCCCTGCTGTAAGGGTCAGCAACTGTAGGTTCGCAGAACCTGTCTCCCAAAGCACCTACTTGAAGCAGTTTTCTTCATAAATACTGTTCCAAATTTTCCAGGCGTCCGGCCCTTTGTAGCCAGTATAGCGTTCTGGATTCAAGAGTAAATCCACGTACTCCGCGTCGGGAGAAGAGATATCTGCGAAGCAGAGTGGAGAGTCAGTGACAAAAACTTCTGCAGGAACATGCCATCTTCCCAGGCTGATCCCTTCATATCCCCAACAGTCTTGCAGAGACACCAGCTCCACCCTCTACAGGCAGGTGAATAATATTTGCTACATAATGTTTCCACTGTATTACTTCCAAAATACTGAGGGGTGGGTGGGGGTGTGTGTGGTAGAAAAGAGAAGAAATGCTATCTACACTCCAGGCTTGCTGAAATATCACACATTGGCCTGAAAGTTCTGCAGAGGTGTTTAAAATCCCATTACAAGACTTGTCAGATCAAACAGGTCCCTATACCATCAGCTTCGCAGAAGCTGTCTGAAGAGTCATCGTGCCGACTCCACCGGAGCACGGCCTGCTGGGTTTCCTTGCTGCAAGAAAAGTGGAAAAAAACTGTCAGAAAGAGCACAGATACTAGGTTTCCTTCAAGACAAGGAAAGATTGTCAAAAAAGAAGTCAAACCTCAGAGAGCCATCAACAGCTCCGAGCCTCTTGGCTTCTTCACATTCTTCAGCAAGGTTACTGGCTTCTTCTGAATACTGGGTTGAAAAGCAAAGGGGTGGGGAGAGAGGAAGATTAAAAAGCAGTTTTTCTGCTGTTACAATTCCACCTTTAAGGCACTAACCAGTTTAAGCATCAGAAACACTTTTATGATTCATCCCACCCTGTATTTCCACAGGATGTCTGCAGATATTCAGAGGCTTATGCAATTGTGATGACTGTTGCAGGGACTCACAGCAGCCTCTGGCACTGCCACAGGAGCATTTTGTGCCTGACGACACGGGCTCGTGGAGAAGTCTGCTAAACTGCTCTGCGTTCGTGGAGGGGAATACCTGACACCAGGACAGCTCACTCAAAGGCTCCACAGCATGCCAAACACTTAAAAAGGGTAAAAATTTAGCCGTAAATATTGCCCATCTGATTAAGGCTGCAGTGACACAAATCTGTGTCATTTTGTGCATGCAGACACACCTACCTTGTAACTTCCAGATCTGATTCCATCAGGGACTTCATCCTGAAAGACAGAATTAAGCCTGTGCTACATGTGGGGCTGATGTGTGATCTTTGAGAAAGATTAGGAAGGTTACCACAGTTTCTAGAAGGTAATCAAAGCGCTCAGCTCAGCTTACAACACTTTCCTGTTTCTGGCTCCTCCACAGACTAAGGTTGAGCAATATTCTTGGTGTTTTATTTTGATTTTTCACAGGTCTCCTCAAAAGGTCAGCAGCCTTCCACAGGTGCTACGTCAGGTTATGTTTTGCTTACCTAAGCGTGAAGTTGGGGAAGCCAACGTAAACTTCAGAGGAGCTGGAGTTGCCTCTGGTCAGCTGGTGGCTGACATCCTGTATCCCGGTGATGCCGCTGCTCCTGGCAGGAGCCCAGGCACCTCCTTAGATATTGCATGTCATTCAAACACGTCCCTTCTACCACTTCATCACATAATGTCAGGCTTCTCAGCCCCACACAGCCCGAGCAGTACACACAAGACAATCAGGCCCTAAATTGTCCTCAACTTCCATTTCCTCTACCAGCAGGAAGGCAATAAAACCACTTCTACGCTGCTGGAGCAAATACTATGATGGCAAGAAGCACAGGAAGGGAAAGATTAAGCAATGAATAAGAGTTATTTTTGTTGCTTCCAGAACGAAATGGACCCAAATCAAAATAATTAAAACCAGCAGTGACACAGACAGTTCTTAAAATAAGAACAACTTCTAGCCACTACTAACATAATTGTAACATTACTCCATCATATTGGTCATACTCATTACCAAAACCATCCTTTTTAAGGAAAAAAGTAAACAATGTTTAAGGTTGAGAACAACAAAAAAAATCATCACTCCATTTTGGGTCTGTAATAGGTGCTTTTTGAAGACTAGGGAAGCAGAGAGTACTTGTTGCAGGGGTAGGGTAGTTGCTGGAAAAACAAATGAATTTAATGTATGTATCAGAATTTAGAGTGATGCCCACACACCCCTGTACCAGATTGTTTCAAGGTGTCGTATCAACCAAGATTTATTTTTTTTCAGCCAACAACTACACTCTGTCAGGTTATCACAGAATTGCCAGGTGAGGGGGACAGACACCCGTTTCACTGCAGCACACTAAATCATAATGTGAAAAGAAACCAGCGAGTTGGGAAAAATGGGTGCAGGTAGGGACAGGAGGGCGCTCTCACCCCAAACACCCATCGCCCTGTCAGCAGGGTGTATGTACCCTGTGCACTGTTAGTGTCCACTGTGACTGCTCTAGAGACCCAGGAACGAGAGCAGAAGCCAGGCTGGGTGGTGTTTTCACCACCCCCATCAACCCAGCGACCAAATTCTGATTCACTCACTTTCTCATCCCCTTTTATTCAGGCAGACACCTGCAGTCAAGATGTTTTCTTTTAGCTCAGCTAACAAACCCCTTTTGTCCAGGATACGGGGACAAGGGCGTTTGCTTTTGTGCTGGGAAACAGAGGACGCTGGAAGAGCCATTTCACGTATACAGAGGACTGGAAAGGTCAAATTTGTCAGCCAAAACTGCAAACCACAGCGTAGCTCACAGGCCAACAGCGTGAACATCCTGGCAATTAAGACAAGAGGCACTTCCTGTAATGACAGTGGATCTGCCCAAGAATTGTCTCACTAATACCAAAAATAGAGGGATTAGGACAAGTTTTTGGCCATTCATGGAGGGTCAGCTATTAAAAGCCTAGCTTTTCTTTCAGTTTTCAGAATTCAACATTTGGGCTTTTCTCACAGGTACCAGTATGACTGCACCTAAGAAAGCTCCATCAGAGCCACAGTTTTGCTATGGTTACAATAACAAGAAAAAAAAAAAAACAAAAAACAGTCCTTTGCCTGCTTCTTCTTCTTGCCCTGCGAGAGCCAAATATAGAAAAGAGGTAAAAGAACGGATTTGGTACTTACAGATGGGCAGGGCTTTACGGCACAGTCTCTTATTCCACAGTGACTGTTGTCATTCCAAAAAGGACAAGGTTTCTTTAAGTTTACCTACAAATAATATATTATCCTATTACACGTTTCCTCCATGCAACCAAGCCGACCTTCCACACCACAGTTTACCAACACACATCTTCAGTGCCTTAGCGCAAGACTTCAGATAACGAGACTTAGTGCATGGTTGAGTGCAGTGAGAGTGGAAACAGATACTTATTTATCTTAAAGGGAGTGAGGTGTGTTTGTGGTAACACAGGGGACAGGACACCCAGGCCACCGACTCCTAATCGCATCCTGAGGCTCCTGCTGAGCAATGACAAACTGGGGTTTGGGCAGGGGGGTTGTACCCTTTAAGGGCCAACCGTTACTCCAGGGCAATCTTTGGCCTTGGAATGTTGCTCAGTTCATTCTCTGAGAATCTTAAGGGAAGTTCTCTCCCCACTGATTTAGTTTCCTTGTTTGGGGCATCTTAGGACTACAGCCTGCCTCCCTGTTAGAGGAGCAGGAAGAGGATGTGCTGAGCCTTGCTGCCATTCTCCTGTGGCCAGAGCACAGGTCTTCTGCTGTCATCTGTGTGCTGGGCTGTTAAGTGTGCAAGGGCTTGACAGGAACAAATAATTCCTTGGCATTTACCAAACTGATTGCTATCACTCCTGTCCTTGTTATCAGGACTGGTTATTCTTTTAATCCTTGCTCCGCTGTTTCTTCTGGTGCTTTCACACACAAACATGCATTATTCAGACCAATCTTACTATTTCTGTTCCAAATCCCAGAGCTGGAAGGGGAAAGTACATTAACTTCTTGAACAAATCTTAAGTCTTTCTTTTCTGGGAGTTGGTATCAAGTATCATTCTTCCAAAACAATTAACATTTACCAAGATTTTTTTTGAGCTAGATGATCACTGCAGATCCTTTCCAACTAGAATTATTCTATTCTCTCTCTTTAAAAAAAAAACCACCATGAAATTTATTTTCGAAGTGTTGTATCACATTAAAATTCTCCTGACAAAAGAAGAGTCACACACTTGCTGACTGCATTGTTAAAAATCAGTACTAAAAAGGGGGTACTAAGACCAGCATAACTTCAAGGAAGATTTTTTTTTTTTAAATAAGAAGCAGCAGCATACAAAACTAAGGCAATAATATAATTTTTGCATGAGGAAATTACCTTGTAGTATCTAAAATAGTCACTTTCCAGAAGTTCATTCAGTCTAGGAAAAAGCTTGTAGTTGTTGAAGGCATCAATGGTTTCTACATCACAGGTGCAGTCATCTAAATGACCAGTAACCTGTTGGATTAAAAAAACAACAACAAAAACAAACAAACACAAAAGAATATTAACAATTTAACCAGTACTTTTAAACACTGCAGACAATAAACCAATTAACTTCTTTTTTTTCTTTTGCCAGTGAATCAACTAGTTCAATTTAACGAGAATTAAACAACACTAAACCTAGCTCTGCTGAACTGGCAGAGAATTTCTTTTGATGCACCCTTTAGGATGCATCCCGTACTACTTGTTTGGGGGGAGGCTGTTTTATTTGGGAACAATTTTCCTCTAACACACATTGATATATTAGAATTCACTGAAATCGGAATAATAGGCAGACGGGCACTTCCATCTCTAAAAAGCAGAGATGACAGACACATTGAACTAGACTGTCACACACACACACACACACACACACACACAGCCCTTTGTCCACACAGACACGGTTGTGCAGATGGCAGATGTTTCTGTCAGGGCCAAATCCAGCACGATGCTGGGTACCGGCTGCTGTGACCGCTCTGAGCCACACGCACCGCCAGCTCAGGTTCCTGTTTGAGACCAGCCTCAGGATGTCACTCTCGTACAGATGAGAGCTGGCGTTTGCATAAGGGACCAGTTAGGCAACAATAATGCCACCGAGGATTACAGCGCTCAAAGAAAGTCCTTGTTGTTAACCAGCTGCGCTGCAGCCATTTGTTTGATTTAATCAGAACCACAGCAACTGCAGCAGTCTCTCTCCCCGCCTCAGAGAGCCATTTGGCAAGAAAACGTTTGTTCTAAATCTGATGTAGAAAGCCAATACTTCTTGCATCGTCCTGAACAACTCAACAAGCTGTGTGCAAGCCCTGAAGGAAAAAAAAACAACCAACGAACAAACAAAACACAACAACATAGCACCAATTCAGCTATGTCTCTGACACGTAGATTACTGTCTGGATGACAAAGCTACACAACACAGAAGTAGTTTTGCTTCCCCCACACCCCCTGACGAGTACTTGGGGAAATCACCCTGGCCAAAATCAAGTATTGGTACTCATTCACTCTCAACAACACACCAGAGATTTTTTTCCTGGATGTTGAAGTAGCAATAGAACATGTGGCAAGCTGCTATTCCCCAGTATCAGATAAATTCAGGGTTTTAAGATCAGGCAGTTGTTTTAAATCAGTATTAACTTACGAGGTGAAGAATAGGATGTTTGCCAGAGTTTGTGATAAGAAATCCTCTTGCCGCTTTCTGTCCCAGAAAGCCTACAAAATCCTGGCAGCAGGCAGCACAGAAACAACATACCCCACAGGATGCTGTTTTGGGGGGTTAAGCCCAGGCTCTACCTTCTCTCTGTGCACAAGAAAGCTGGAAGCAGACAAGCAGAATAACCCTGGAAACATCAGCACGGGCAACCCCTGTGAAGTTGTGACAGGGCACACTGCCCAGTGGTAGCATAAAAGGTCCCCTGGGGAGGCCAGGAACAAATAGGGAGATGGGGGATGCACAAGATCTAAAAAGCATTGGATTGTATTTAAGGGGCTCCCCCTCTTTTGACTTTTAAAGCACCCAACCAGCTTGAGGGCTGCTTGAACACCCTGGGACAGCAAACAGGAGCAGGAAACACCCTTCTTGAAGGAAAGGCAGCAGATGACCAAAGGCATGGGCATCTCAGCAGTCAGACCCAGAAAAAGGAGTAAAATCCTGCAAGCCTCAGGAAAAAGCCTCCATGAATCCAAAGCAAAGGTGCAACTCCTGCTTTTGCAATTAGGGAAAAGTATGTACGGAGAGAAAAGAGAGCGCCACGTGAGAAGCATGAGCCACCTGCCTTGACGCATTTCCGGGGAGCCCTCAGATAATTCAGCAACAGCTACACATCAACTTAAATAAAACTATTATAATTACTACTGTGGAAATAAAGCTCCTGGCCTTCCTTCCGAGAAGGAGGGGAGAAATGGAGCACTTGCCCTCAAAGCACACAGTCACATGAAATGGGGAAGTGGGGGGGGAAAAAAGTAGCCTGGATTAAGCATATCACACCTTAAAGGTAAGAGCAAGTTTCTTCCTGACAGCGTGGACAGAGAGGGAAGGAATCAAGACCGAGGCTGGTCCATAGCAGGAATTCGTATTTTGGAACAGATTTTTTTCCTAAAAGGGCTTTGATATTTTGGACGCTGATTTTAAGGGGGAATGAAGGGAAATCTATCTGAGCGTGTCAGAATGCCCCACTCCACTTGAGCAAACTGCTCTGGTTAAGGCACCACGACTTCTATCTCTAGTGTTCCCATTGAAGCCCACCGCCTCATCCTCACACACATTCTGTATTCTGTCAGGCGTTTTGCAAGGTAATGAAGATTAACAGCATAGCAATTAAGCTTTCCACTAGCCTGAATCACCTCTGTAAAAAAAAAAAAACAACGAACAAAACGCAATTTGCTAATCCAGTTACCCAATTTAAAGCTGTTTCAAAATTAAAAAAACCCAAACCAACCACAACATAAAAGCAACCAAGCACATTTTTTACTTCCTGGAAACCTGGCATCCTTTGAGGCAGGCACCTTATAGATTGGGTCTAAAAGTGGCCTAAAAAAAGATTGTGGATAATCTTCAGCTGCTTTCTGTATCCATGCTAGACAAACATGTCACTCCAATGGGATGACATCCCCATAAGAGCACCCAGCCATGGTGCAAACACAACACACACCATTTGCACCAGGCTTATCTAGAGCCCAATTCAAGCCAGAACCAACCTGGCAAAACATCAGCCTGAAAATAATCCAGGGTGAAGCACTCCCACCAGTATTCAAGAGTCGATGGGGGTCATGCTTTGGAGATCTCAAAATATCCACTGCTCAGTTTAGAAAAGCACTGGTGGGAAGATCAGCCACAACCCCACCAAGAACATGCCTGGGGGGGCAGCACAGGCAAAGGGGGGTGCTGGGGAAAACTTGAGCTCTGCTTAAGTTAGAGGGAAAACTTCCTTCTCCGAGGATTTCAGTCGGACTGTGCAGAATGAGGCAATTTCTCTAGCCAGCTCACCTTCCTGTTCTGCCTCCTAAGGCTGCTGAGAAAGCTCGGCCAGGCCTGGTGACAGCACCAACGCTCACAGCCAAGGGAGTACAGAAATCAGAATATCCACTCTCCTCAGAGACCAAGGTGAAAGAAAGCCCCAGCGATGATACCACCAAACAGCCCCAACCCGCTTTAAGACATGGGGAAGAGGGCAGTATCAGATCACTTGGCAGGGCACGTTCTTCACCCCAGAAGTTCCTTCTTGCTCTGTGACCGCCTGCCACCCCAGAACCTGTTTCTTTCATCCTTGCACGCACCCAAGAGACTCATTTGTTTTGGACTTCAATTCCTGCTATCAGAGCAGTTGAGCTACAGCATGTGTCAAACATGCCCTGCAATGGGTGGTGCCTTAAAACACTTTCTCCCCACCTCCCTAAAATACTTATCTACATCTTCAGCCTGTAATAATTAGAACAGTTCTTTAAGATGAAACAGAAATTGATCCAGTCCCAAACATGTGCCATGTGCTTGCTGGCACCTGTGAATCACTGAGCTGCACGGCCACGACGGGTTTCGCTCCACCCAGCAGAGGTGGGAGAGCCTGGCATGAGACTGAGGGGCAGGGCTGGGTTTGCCCAGTGGGAAGAGACACAACGGAGCCACTGGGACAGACAAGACACAAAAGGCTCTGGCTGCTGAGTAAGCAGGGAGGAAGGTGTTCACCTGGAACCTCCACAACAGCCACTCTCAATCGCTTAACACCAATGTACCCGCCTCGTGTGCGTAACAGCTTGGAACACCACCACACGTGGACTCCGCCTAACGCCCGGGTTTGCCTTTTGCTTCATCTTCCTCTACCTCCATCCCAGGCTCCCAATGGGTCTGCTCTCCTCACCTCTTTCTGCTTCCCCGCAGTGTCACAGATCCCTGGGCAGTGCACTGAAGGCTTGCTTCTCTTGCTGGGGGCTCCGTCCCAGACCCACACACCATCACCTACTGCACAGCTGTGCAGGAAAGAAGGCAAACCCTTCTGCATCTCCCATTTGCAGCTACCCTAGGGCACAGCGAAGGGACTACCACCGTGGCTAAGGAGTTGGTTTTAGCCTGTACCAACCTCACCGACAGCTGCCTGCTCTTCTGAACAAGCCACACCAGTCCCAGGCTGCTGGCAAGCAGACGCTTTCCCTGCTGCCCCAGCAGAAGTTTCCCTGCAGTCGCCCTGCACAGGCGCTCGGTGGCTCTGCCTGCCCGCAGCACCCAGCCCAGCTAGGACTCCCTCTCATCCTTGCCAGCACACTTGCAGCAAGTAGCCACTAGCCAGTCATGCCCAGCATCTGCCCTGGAAGCTGTGTATGTTGGCCCAGGCACTTTCTCCCCCATCTTTTGTCCAGAAAACAAGGACTGGGGCTTCCGGAGCTCACACAGAAGCAAACCTCATATGGGAGCCTCAGGATGGGGTCAAACTGCAGAGGCTGAAGTGCTGTCAGATGGTATCTCCAAGCGTCTGCAAGCAAAGAAGGATCTGCAGCTGCTCTGTGCTGTGTGAAGCGACCTCTCAAGCCACCCCCTCCTGAGATTGGGAACCCTGCTAGGTATGAATTCCTGTCTTGAAGGCTGTTGGGCGAACACCAACTCAAGAATGCAAAAGCAGCTTGAAAGTCTGTTCAGGTAACAGCAAGGTAACTCTCAGTGCCTGGGCTCCCCCTTAATGACAGCGTACTGGCCACAGAAACACCCCCGAAGGAAAGCGGCCCTCGGCCAGCCCGGAAGCCTCATCAAAATCCCAGTCTGCCAAACACCTGCAGCACATCCTTAATGCAGCTACGTCACTCTGTAAACAGCAAATGAGTAATAATTACTAGGAATATGGAGAATTGATTCATAGCTGACTACAGCATTAATGCAAACAGGAATATCTGGGTGGGGGATGAGCCGCCTGTAAAGTTCGAGGGAACTCCGATATGGAAATGTTACTCAGCACTAATGAGACAGATTGGAAAGCAGAAACAGTATGTGAAAATTGAAGTGTTTTTAGTAACAGATGGATGATTCTAATAAGAGTTTCAGGACTGGTTAGCAACCTCTCCAAGTAAATGAAGAGCTAAAAACAAGTCAAAAAAAAAGCAGGTGAGCATTGCTCTTAGTAGAGACAAGGGTGCAACACCCACTCCAGAATGATGGCCCGCTGAAGTCAGCGTGTGAAATACTGCTAGAGCAAGTGCTCACAAAAGTGCCTCTTGTCAACTGTCCCAACACGGGCTGACAGATGAGCCAAGGCTCTTCCGTTCACCCTACATCAAGGTTTCTTAATCTGACAAGCTGTCTCAAGTGATGGTTTGCAGGAGGAAGCCAACAACTATACCCAGGCCTTCAAATACACAAACAAAGGAGGGGAAAACACACCATTTAAGGCTTGCCTTATATTTTATTTGGTGGTAAGTAAGAACCACCAGACCAGTTCTGCACAAGATGATCAGCAGATTAGTTTCTACAGAAAGAGGAGGCAGCCCGAGTGTGTTTTTTAAAGGTTAGGTGGTTAGTAAGGCTGAGAAATGCTGCCCTACATAACACACTGTCCCAAAGGCAATCAAGTCTGAAAAAAAAATCTTGAACCTGAACACTTGTACTGAAAACTAAACCAAAGCACATGCTACCTCATAAACAATAAGTGTGTTGCAACAAACCAAGAGTTTACAAAATACAATGGAAGTTCCTCCTACCTAAGGCAAACAGCCTGAAAGCCACTGCTAAGTCAGTGTGTCCCTTTAGTGGTTAAGGCTTCGTATCCTGTACCACACTCCTCACTCCGGCTTCAGCCCTCAGGAGACAAACTTCACTGTAAAGCAGGAAGAATACAAGCAGAAACCCAACAGAGAATCAAAACGCAGGCTTTGCAATTCTTTATCAGCATAGCTTGTATTTCCCATTTCCACATGAAACTGAAGTGCAAGGAGCCTCCCCGAAGGCAAAGCCAAAGCCAAGTGCACAATCACATTTGTTTTCCTTCTCCGGTCTCAATTTCTAACTCACATTTAAGTGCTAAAATTTTAATCTAGCAAGAGTAGGCTTTACAATTGCTTCCTTTTTTAAAAGGCAACAAAAAGAAAGCACTAAGTATGCCATACCATACTCACTCCTCGATCTTGCAAATGTGCTTGTGCAAAGTTAAGCCAAAGGAATCTGCATAGTGACTGTTCTCCCAAATCCTCCTCACTTAGTTGACTATACCCTGTTCTCTCATTCCTGGACATCAACAGAGAAGGGTAACAAACCTGCCACATCAACAAGGAGAACTAACCCTGGAAGAGCTTTACAGAAGGGCAGCTCAGTTCACCCCCGGGCATGGCAGGGTAGCAGGCACCTGCTGCAGCCACGCTCCCTCCTGGCCAGCGGAGCTGGGAGGACCAGCAAGGCAGACCTGCAGAAGAGGGGATGAGGCAGCTCCCAGACTTTATAGCAACACACATCCCTCAAACATCCGATGAGAGACACCTGGGTGGTTAGGGGAGAACTGCTCCCCTGGCTGAAACACTCACCTTTCCTGCTGGGGGCAGGGAGAGAACACAGTTAAGAAAGCAACGCAGAGGACACAGTGGGTAAAAGTTCCCCTTTCCTCTAGCCACCTCCCAGCAGACTTTCCGATGCTCGCACAAGAGTCGAAGCAGTGAGGTACCCGCACCCCCCCACCCCGAGAGCGTGGGTTTGTGTGTGCCTGTGTCCGCCCCCCGCAGAACCCACCTGGCAGAAGCAGCGTCGTTCCGCCACGCTGGGCGGCCCGCGGGGCTCCACCGGCAACAGGAGAACGGCGAATCCCAACGCCCGCAACAGCAGCAGCCCGCCACCCGCCGCCATCGCACCGCGCCAGCTCCTCCGCCGTCACCGCCACCGGCTGAAGAA